AGACTGTGTCAAAGTGTAGGATGTACATGGCAAAGACTAAATCATATGCCAAGTCCTCCTCTCTTTAGCCAAACAACCTCCATCCCTGTCTCCAACATCTCAAGGGTATCACACTCAGTGGGAAAAAGGTTAGTCTGAGAAAATGGAAATACAGGATGTCAACTCGTGGCAGACCATGAGACCCACTTATTTGTACTTACGCAGCTTTCTGTTTGTTTGACCATCTCAGAACCATTGCTCATCTGAGCTGGTTAATGTGCACAAGTTTTTAAAACTGGAACACCACTAGGCCACATGAATGCATGGCCATTCCCTATTTAGAATGGTACACAATATAACAGGCTTTGAACAGCCACATGTTCCAAAAGGTAAAACGTGACGCTTATTCTAGAACTGTTAATAGTTAATTTGTAATATAAATTGTAATTAAGCAATTAATACCTTTCTATATTCATTGTATTTTTAAACACAAAAAGATACATGCAACATAATATAAAGAGAAAATATGAATTTTAACTCCTTTGAAATGTAGGTTGACAGATTCCAATCTATGATATCACATCTACCACGAAAACCTGCTGTAGCCAGTACAGCGTATGCATGCATGTACATAGAATATAGTACAAGTATTTTTTTTTTATTTCTCACGCCCAACATGCTATTTTTACCTTTGGATATACACTCTAAATGGAAGCTTTTTGCAAAACTGCAAATATGAAAAAACGTCTACAGTTAATCCAATGTCACCCCTCTTAGACTTGCATAAGCATGAAAAGGTGTAAAGTCATCAGCATAATGGAATGCAGGTTCACAAATGACGGAGTATATAGGCAGTTAAAAGGTGAACAAATAGCAGCCTTTTTTGTGTTAATTATTTTCAGGACAACTTCAGCAACATTAACTTAATGATTTTTAGGTTTTGTGATATTATAATATTCTAAGCAGAAAGGTACAACTCAAAAGTGAGGTGCTCAAAATCCATGACTTTTAAATAGATCATTAATTCTCCAAGCATTTGTATAACCCAACCATTTTAGTTTGCAAATCTAAAAACCATGTGAAATAGTTAGTTTGAAATAGCAAATGGCACAATTTTTACTACCACACCATTTTTCATTTCAGCTTAAACACTACTAAACCTCTCCTACAGAACTGGCCATAGTAGTATCTATACTTATATAAAATGGAAGTATATGAAAGTTTTGTGATCTACTACAAAAGAAAATTTAAGTCATAAAGGTTGATGGAATTTTCTGAAATTCTCTGAAATAACCCCAAGAATTGTTTTTGGAAACAGAACTCTCTCCATTTTAGATTTGTGTGTAGGTATGGGGTGATAAAAGCGGAGAGGATGAGAAGGAGGAGATGGGCAGAGAAGAGGTAGGGACCAATATGCTAAGAATAGGGGTCAAATCTGCATTCAGAAGTGAGAGAACCTCGGACATATGTGAAAAGAAACTAAAACTGTACCCTATATATAGCGTCTGGATACTTTGAAGTGGGGATGTAAAATCCCATTTAATCAGTTAACCAGTTAAACTTAATCAATTAAACAGATGCAAGTGGCAGGGTTGCTCCAGCCTGGCTGGGTTAGAAGGACTACTCTGCCATGGATGGGGGCTGCTCCAGCCCTTACCAATTAACCGTAACCAGTAAGCCTTACCTGTGAGCATGAGGCTTACTGGTTAACCATTCACATCCCTACGTTGAAGAGGAAGGACTTGCCTTTCAAAAAAGAGGGCCCCAGAGACAACTGGAGGAGGCCACCCTAAGACTTCACTGGGTAAGGGATTGCAGTTAGTTTTAGAGGACATCCTTCTAAACTGATCAAAGGCAAACATTTTAGACTGCACATCACAGCAACAAACAATTCTAGATTTTGACACTAGGCCTGTGATGAATCCTAATAACCATAAGTAACCCCATTTTGAGGAGACAACTCCCAATTTCTTTGACCTATGCCATCAGAAATCCTCAACCCCTTCAACTAAGCTGTTTGGGAAATTTTGCAATATACCTCAAATTAATATACATGGGAGCATTCTTCTCACCTAGGGCTGATCTACAGTGGACATTTTACCAATATAACTGAGTTTAGGTGTGAAAGTTTTTGCCATCTCAATTATACCAGTAAAAGCCCCTGTACAGATGCAGTTGTACAGGCGCCTTAGAGCAGCATAATTTATTTTGGTTCCCAACCAGAATAACCATATCTGTATAACTACTTTTATAACTGTGTAACTGTAGCTAGCTATACATGGAGTGTTTTTCTGTTTTATCTATTCTGGCACTATTAAAGCGGCAAAACTTTAAAGCACCAGATAAGCCCTAAGAAAAGCAGTGACAGACTCAGAACTAAATTAATATTTTTTGCACCCATGTTTAGTGAATTATGCTTAAAGTAGCCCTGTATAGTGGGACAGCTAAATGGGGATTCTTCCAGTTGCAAGAGCATAGAATTTATAAACAGGGTGAATTTATGATAGAAGAAAGTTCACAAAACTCATGTTTTGTCACCTCATAAGTGAGACATCTGATTTCTGGCAGAGGATAAGGAAGATACTCTTAGTGGCTGACTACTTTACTTGACAACGTTGGTTTCCGCAGTCTAGGCCTTAAAGAGCAATTACATTAAGAGCTGAACCAATTTCAGATACAAATTGGATTACAAGAATCAAGAACAGGTCCCTTTTAACAGAAAAAATGGTTTTCAACTTGTTGATTTCATTCTATATGTTATATTGACCTAGACTTCTTGATGGCTCAAGAAGAGGTCAGCTGTATCCTAGAAAGTTGTGAATGTATTGTTAATTTCAGTTACTGTTTTCAGCAACTGCTTATTTCAAAGTATTTCAAAGACTGAACTTGCCTGATGCTTGCTTGTATCAGACAGATGCACCAGGCAATTTTCCTAACAGTTGTGTATGTTTTAACTAAACTATTTCATACGCCATATCAGAAGCCCTTGTTTTCACCAAGATTCAACTTTAAGTTAAAATTGTGTTTTCTTCAAATTGAAACAGCACAGAAAATTATAGTGCAAAACAAGTCATGCTTTATGGAACAAAAGCAGCCCAAAAATTTCAGCTTGAAATATTATGGCAAATCAATATTAACACTCAATAGTGCTGTTTGCTATGGAATAGCATCAGGACATAGGTAGCTTTGCTCAAACCTACAAATGGAAAGGTAGGTACCTACAAGGTTAGGCAGAAGCTGAACTGCAGTTCTGAGAATGTCAATAGTGCCTAAATGTTGGATTTGCAAATTGTGGATCTAGTTCCTTGAGCCTTTCACTAGCACTAATTTTTTGAAGTAATTTAAGAAGAACAATCAGGAACTGTTACAGAACCGTTTTCTATGCAATCAGCAATATATCACATAACCATAGTTTTAGTACTTGAACCTTTTTAAAACTAAAATTACACAAATACCAAAAATGATACATAGACGCTCACTGAAATTACTTAGAGGCACCTCGCAACCTAAAAAATTATTGAAAATTAACAATTGATGTACTGAGACAATTTGATAAATGTGCAGTTATAGTTAATTACTAAGTACATCTACATGTACTGTTTATAATTTACACAAGTAATTAAGGCAGACTTCATCATTACCTTGTATTAAATATTTGAGATGGAGCACAGTTTCTGTCTAGATGAATTATTAGATTAACTAGGTTCAAATCCATGCATTCCTTGCCAGGTGGTGTGTATGAATGTTCCATGGCAAGTGGTGAATTTATCAATTTTTGTAGAATTTAAGCTAATTTAAAAAAGTTTGCAGGCTAGGTCTACATTAGTGTAAAACACCCACAACTGGCCTGTCAGATGATTTGGGCGCAGGATATAAAACTGCAGTGTAAACATCTGGGTTCAGGCTGGAGCCCAGGCTATGGGACCTTCCTTGCCTTTAAGTCCCAGAGCCTGGGCTCTAGCCCAAGCTCAGATGTCTACCAAATTTCAAAAGGGATGTTAAAATTAGTTAATTTTGGTAAATATGTATCTGCTGAAATTCTGAGTGGGTACACACGTTTACATGCAAGGGGTGGGAGGAGAGAAGGCGGCTCTGTGGGAGATGGTGAGTGCATGGAGCCGACTTTTAAGCTGGCTCCCTGCTCATAATAGCTCCCGCCCAGCAGGTGGCTCCCATGTTCCCTCCTTCACCACCCCCCACGCTGCCATCTCTGGTATAGAGGCAGTAGTTGGGGGCAGAGAAGGCTGAGTAACCATGAAAGTGAGCTTATGAAACTAGACTCATCAGTTAATTAGTTACAATGTTGCATCCCCAATTTCAAGGTAGTACTGAAATTTAGCTAACATTTTAGTTTGCAGAACTGGCCTGGGCATTAGGTTTGTCCTTCGAAACTGGGGTATTTTTAGCACACTGTAATTCACTATTACACACTTAGCAAAAACCTCAACAGGCCTCAAAGTTTGATTTCTTTCCTCATCTAGATTATTCAAATGGTGGACAAATGAAGTATTGACACCACGAAAGTCTAGAACTGTATTCTTCTAGAGTCTGAATTTCAGGATATTAGTCAAAGGCACCAAATTACATTTAAGTAATTCAGTTATATAACAAAAGACACTGTAATATCAAACCAACAAGTTACAAATAGAAGTGCCTTGAAACTAAATCTTCACATAGAAGGATGAATGTATAATGGCCCTGAATAATAAGGGGCACGTTTTTAGAAAGGATTAGGCGTAACCTCTTATTTTGTGCCCACAGAACAATTTGTGGGTGAAAAATCAAAGCAAGAGGACTTGTTTGTCTATTTACAGGAATTACACTCAATATGTTGTTTATGTACTGCAAACACTGGGGGAGGGGCGATGAGACAAAAATGTGACTGCAAGTTTTGTGGATGGAAGCTGTGCTTGCAAAAGGGTGTTCTTCTGAAAATGTTGCTTACATTATTGCTCTAAAGAGGTTTCTAATGTCACCAGCATCTTACAGAATCCCAACTGTCAAAAGTAATATCCACTTACCATCATCTAGTGTGATGTCTTGCAATCCAATTGTTTGAAAAGTCAACTCTCGATCTTCAGGTTCTGGTTTAATGTTAACAGCTACCCCATCTGATGAAAATGGAGATGACTCGCATACACTGTGATGTACTAAAGATGAAGCTACATGAAGACCTCCCAATCCAGGACTATGTTCTTGAGGGGAATGTTGTCCCGAGTGACTTACAGCCGTTGGGGGAGGAGATGCAGCAGGTCCTGAGCTAGGAGACTGGTATGGCATAGGCTGTAGCTGAGGAGAAGATGGCCCTGACAGTGGTGAATGGACCAAAGAATGGGAAGCTGTTGGGGATGGTGATGAAGCAGACCCTGGGTTTGCAGAATGGTATGTGACTTGCTGCAACTGAGGGGAAGGTTGCCCAAGGGGTTGATTCATTGCAGAAGAGAGAGAACCCTGCCCAGTATTTGGACAGTGGTATACCATTGACTGCAGATGAGGTGATGATTGTCCTGAATGAACTGGATGTGCCAAAGGATGTCCTACTGTACATGAAGTTGTCACTGAACCAGGATTTGAAGAATGGTACTGCATTTGTGGCAGAGGTGGGCAGCTAAGATTTATCAAATGAGGTACAGCTGCATCTTGTTGAAATGAAATAGTGTCAAATCCTTGGCTGGAGACAGAACTCATGGGAAGACCAGGCTGTCCATTGTACATAACATTAGATTGCATAGGCTGGTAGGAAGGCCTCACTGGAGGTGTTGATGTTACTTGGAAAGACTGGTGAACAACAGGAGGCAAAACATGACACTCATCACCTGGACTGACGTTTCTACCTTGTATATGAGACAGATGGGACACTGCTGATGTCGTCATGGATGTATATGTTTGCTGAACTGGGCACACAAGACTCCTGGGTGATGTAGATAGTAAACTATCATGTGGGTGCCCTGGATCTGCTGAAGACAGCTGAGTTCGGATGGAATGCAGGCCCTGAACGCTGCCAGTATGAGGCAGGGACAAAGATGGAACGGCAGACAAATCCATTTCATCTCTGTGCTCTTGTTTCATTAAAACTAGAAAAATGAATAAAAATCAAAATTATACCTTATAATTCTACTTCACTATAATGTGACACAGTATGTACTCTAAATTACATAGCACTTGCATGTAAATGCCATGATTCTATCGCTGGATTTATCATATTTTGTTTTTCCCAGTCTTTTACCATTTATTTTGTCTCGCTCTTAATTTCTCTCTTCCATTCTTGAATTTTTACATTCCTGTCATGCTGGCTGGTATGCCTGAAACATTTTGCCTTTTATTATCTGCTCAATGTCTTCCTTCAGCTCCCTCTCCCTTTCCTCATCAGTAACCCACAGGTTATCAAGTTTTGAACTACTGCTCTATTCTTTGTACTGGCTGGGTTTGGAGGGGAGAGTGGGCAGTTACTGTACTATTACTGGCCCAGGACAAAGCACAGTAGACCTAGGTTAATAAAGGACATCTAAGGTCAACCAGTGACTTTCACTGATAAGGTTCTGGCAGAAAGTTCAGCACCAACTCTCAGAAAAGGTGATAAAACTGGCTGCTTTGAGAGTGTAGCTATTGGGTAACACTGAGTTCAGTACAAGATTAACTGACAAATGAAATGATCAAAGATGCTTAGATCCAAAGAATACATTAATCCAGACAGCAATGGCTACTATTTTTGTTACAATTTTTTCAAGTACCAGTTCTAAAAAAAGGGAACAAAACTAAACAAAGTTTTTAATTTTCATGCTTGTAAATCTGACTGATCTTTAAGAAGGCTATCAAGTTTTAGTTTTACTTATTGATGGTTCAACAAAGATAGGGCTAAAGGTGTCTGTTCTCCAGCACATCTATTTATAGAATAAGGAAGTACTTATTTTCTAACAACATCTGTTACTTATAATCACTATAAAATTAGCTGTTGCAAGTTACACAATCCAGCACAAAACCAAAACACTGGGTTATTGGACTAGCATCTTCTCATAGAGATTTATTTATTTACTATGTTCTCTGTCTATTAGTGCTGACCATATTGTTGCACTTAAATATACTACAGGTTAAACCTCTGTGGTCCAGGACACTCTGGTCCAGCAACATCTGCAGTACAGAAGGCAAAGATTGCTGGCAGCTCAGAATGGAACCCACTAGCAAAGTCAATGAGCCAGCAAATCCAACCCGGTCATCGAGTCCAACCTCATCTAAATCAATCCAGCCAGGGCTTTGTC